AGGCGTCACAGGCCACAGGGAAGTGAGCGGGCAAGGCTGTGTCCAGCGAGACTTGCTGATGAGGACAGATGGCAGGCCACAGTTGGCTCACGAGATCCTATCAACCTCTAGCTGTAGGAATATGGAGTACATTTTTCTTAAAGTTTTTTTTTAACGATTTATTTATTTATGCATACAGAGGTGGGGTACAGGCCAGAGGCAGAGGGGCAGTGAGAGAATCACTGGAGAAAGAGTGGGCAGCAGAACAGGCAGCTCAACTAAGTACACTGCTGAGGGGAGCAGCAGGCGAGACAGGAGAGGTCTGCCGCACCCTGTGGGTCACCTCTGGGCCCGGGATCGAACCCACACTGAAGCAGCTGTGGCCAGCTTGCAGTGCTGTGTCCTTACCCGTTGCACCACCAGGGAGGGCCTGGAGTACATTTTTAAAGTAGAAAAAAGATCAAGGCCAGGAGCTGGTGTTCCCAGTGTTTGGCAAAGCACGCTGTACTGGCACGCAGCCGCGCCACTCACACAGGTGCCGTCTGTGGTCTGCTCCTGCCCGGCGGCAGAGGGCCTCGGAAGTCTCTACTGACTTGATGGCTGCAAGGCCTGAAATACTTGCCAGCTGGCCTGTGGCGGTTCGCCAAGTCCTGCTACCGAAAATATACCCCATTTTTGTACATTCTTTTCACATACTATGTTATACTATGACTTACTCTGCGGCTGCTTTTTATGCCACAGCAGCAAGTTTCTGAGCTCTGGCCGTGGTGTGTGCGCAGATCTACTCCGAGCCTTCCTCGCTGCACAGCGCCCCTGCGTGAGCACACCAGCTCGTGCTCAGCCACTGCCAAATGCCGGGCCTTTAGGTTGCTTCAGAAGTCCCGCGACTACAAACGGGGCCCCAGCGAACATCCTGCTCTCGGGCCCAAGCGCAATCGCTTCTCCAAGGCTCAGAACAGGAAGATAGGACACACGTGCTGCTCACTGGGACAGGTGACACTCTGCCCCACCCCCCAGCCTTACTTGGCAAAGAGGGACTTGAGGGCTGTCAGCAGGCCACAGGTCCCCAGGCCACTGGTGAATCGGATGCATCTGTCCACAGCTGCAGACGCCAGGCTGAAGAGCTTGGTCACGGAGTGGCTCAGCTCCTGCACACAGTCGATGACCTCTCCATGCTCCTGCACAGCAAGTTTGGACAAGCAAAGCTACCTCAGACCCGAGAACAGTTGAACAGACAGCATTAAGCTGAGGCAGACTGCCAAGCCTCCTCACCCGCAGTACGGCCACTTTTTTAACAGGGACATCAGCAATATACTCCCAAACCCGGACAGCTCTTCAAGGGCCTGCCCATGGGCAGCTGGTCTGTGTGGCAGCGAGGTCACAGAAATGAACAGCAGCAGAAAAGCCTATCCAATACTTCGAGTCATCCTCACAGTTCTCATCTCCTTCCTGTTTTTGTCATTAAGATGGCTTCTCTCTCTCATGCTCACCAGCTAGGATTCAAATTCTCCATACCACACACCCCAAAAGAATGTAGTGAAGCTGCTTCCTTCAGGGGCAAGAAAGTAACAGAAGCAGAACACACTTTCTAGGAACATCCCTAGAAAACACAAAAATGGCAACAGGCGGCACCTTCTAAGGACTTTCAGATCAATTCTCCAATGCCAGCTCTCCCCAGAGTGGACAACCTTAAAATACCACTTTGCACTGCAATGACCTCCACCCCCTGGTGCCAGTGACCTGCCCCTCATCACCTATAGCACTGCTGTGTGCCAGCATGACCTCCAGGCCATCTGCACATCTCCTTGAAACAAAACACTGCCAGTGATAAGAAATTACCAAATCATAGACGTTGAATTCACCCCCAGAAGACTTAAGGCTCTTGCTTTGCTAGACCTTTATTGGGGACCTGGAGAGCTGCCAGCCTAGCTGGGGTTGAGTTTTCTACAGGATCACAACAGCCCAGAAGGCACCTGGAGCCCATGTTTTGCACACCTGTTCCCAATTCTTTGCACATGTGATTCCAACTCAGACCTTCTCAGCGCATTCCGCCCCCAACCCCATGCTTGGCAAACAGAACGCATCCTCGAATTAGGCCACTGGCAGTCTTCGAACATTACCAAAGGCACCGCGCTGATCTGAATGAGAAGGTTCTTCTCTTCCATGTCGCCATACTTCAACTGGTAGGGCTTGTACGGAGCATACACAGCATCCACCAGCTCCATGACTTTGACCAAGTTGTGCTCATCTTTAGAGAAATGGAAACAAAAAGCAAAAATGAACATGGAGGGGCTCCCTGGTGGCCCAGGGGCTAAGTCTCAGCGCTGTCACTGCCAAGGTCTGAGCTAAATCCCTGGCCACATGGCGCGGCAGACCTCTCCTGTCTCTCCTGCTGCTCCCCTCAGCAGTGTATTTCGGTTGATCTACCTGTTCTGCTCCCCACTATGGCTCTGGTGAATCCTCTCACCCTCCACACTTCTGGCCTATACTCCAGTATATATGCAAAGAAAAAAAAAAAAAAGAAAGAATTGGAAATTAACTGTTGGGGAACAATAGGTAAAAGACACTTCCCTGGAACCTTCCCTGCTTCATCCTACGGGATGACTGACTATATTCTGTCAATCTGCGTTGATCGTTCCTGGAAACTTCAACAATAGCATCTATAAATATTAGACAAGTCTGGGCTTCATGTACTATTTTCCTAGACACTGTTCTAGACACTGTCCTCGTATTCCCAAGTCAAGAACTTCACCAGTCTCATCTCCTCAGGGTCCAGCTCAAGGGCTAATGCTGAGAAGACTGCAAGAAGAACGCTTCACATGCTGAGCTTCCCAGAATTACAGAAAGAAGACACTTCGCACACTAAGCATTCCCAAAAGTCTCCCTCCAACTGCACACACAGTCACAAGTGCACAGCCATGCAGCCCCTGAGAATTACCTCTTCAGGCAGACACCAAACACCTTAGTGCTTACAAGGCCCCACCTGCCTGGCCCGGAGGTGAAAGGGGTGGGCAGGTAGGGTGAAGGCTCTTTCAAAGTGCTGCTGCTTCCTCCTTGTGTGAGCACGTATGAACAGTAACTTTCTATGCCTAGTAACTCAGCTTTTATATGCATAAGTAAATAAATCTTTTTTTAATGCTTTGAAAACCTCAATAGGAATCATTAAAAATCTGAACCTGACTTACAAATGATTTCTGCATCTGACTCTTAAGAGAGTGAGGCTCTCTCTCTTCTTCAGTAAACTCTGTCACGGGGGGAGGAAGGCTTCTCTGACCCAGGAGGGTGCGAGGCCGGCCTCCCACAGCCACCAGGCCCGGGGCGCCTCCTCCCCGGCAGTAACCACATCCCCTGAGCCTCTCTCCTGCCAGGCCAGGCCCCAACCAGTGAGTGGGCCACAAACACGAGTGAATCATCAAGAGCCTGAACAATAAACACACTCCCTGGAATGTCTAAGGTAATTATGCGCAAATGTAATTAAAGAGAATAACTATTAAATAAACCGAGTTAGTGACAAAGCTGCCAAATGGCAGAACAAGGTTTTCCCGAAGTGATTATCTGATTTGACAGCACTACGCGTCACACGGGCTGTATTACTTACAAGTTTATGGAGCTTTTAACCCAGATGGGAGAACCAGCGCGTCAGCCACTGCCTGCCCTCCAACCGTCGTGGGCCTCATGCTCGGGTGCGCAGGGCCATTCCTCCCAAGGCCACCTTCAGCCCCACGCCACATCCCTGCCCCTGGAAGCATGCTGCTGTCCCCTCAGAAAGCTCCTCTCACCCACTTGTTCTCTTCAACTTACTATTTAGATTGAACTGTGCAAGGTTCTACAAGGACTTAAGAGGCAGAGGCCACTTCCCCCCCCCCAGACAAACCTGCTGTCAACTGCTGCTAACGCTACCTGCCTCTGGCTTTCTAAGACCCTGCAGAGGTGTCCATCTCCTCCCCAGAGCGAGGAAGGCTCAGGAGTGGTGCTGGGTAAGTCCATTACACATCACCATCGCCACAGTGGCAGCGTCTCCATGGAGAGGCCTCCCGTATCTCCTGGAAAGGGAAACTGTGATCCTTTCCATTCTGCAAAATGAGCACCTGGAGAGACCAGCCACCCAGCCCCAGAGTTCCAAACAGAGCAAGTGAAGACAAGCTAGTCTGGGAGGAAGGAATGCTCACGTGGGTGGGGGAGCAGCGCCATCTCCAGCCCCTTGGCAAAGTGGGCGGTGGTGTCGTAGAACTCCAGCAGCCTGGTGAGCTCCAGCTCAGGCCCGGCCCGCTCCACACCGGCGCTGAGGCAGACTGGCAGAGAGGGCAGCAAGGCCCCCAGGGTCTGAATCAGCAGCACGGTCACCACCTCGTAGGGGTTCTTGAAAACCTGCAACGAGAGAGAGAGGACATGGACTCGAGGCACACCGCTGCCACTGGCAGGCTCCTGGTGGCGCAAAGGCCTCCTTCCAGCTGCCAGGCGCTGGGCCACCCCGGAGCGACAGGCCCCAGGGTTTCCTCGCCATGAAGGCTCTGAGCACCGAGTACAATGGTAGCTCTGCCCAGGGTCCAGACCAAATGGCTGCTGTGCGTCTATCCCTGGGCCCAAGGGCCTGGCCATGCCCAACTCTGTTGAAAGTAGCGTGGAGATGGTCACCAATACTGGCAACGGGGGGGGGGGGGGCCTGGAAGATGTGTAGAAGCGGGGGGGAGGGATCGAAACAGAATTAACGAAAAGTAAGTCAGAAACTGACAACTTCTGGCAGTGTGCAGGACGGCCGACCACCTCTCCCTTGACACAGTTCTCAGAGAAGACATATTTTATTCAAGGGGCCACCAGGAATAGTGTCTTGGGAGCCTTTTAGAGTAGATTCACCTATTCACCGAGAGCCTGGTTCCTGTCCTGGGCACTGTAGGTCTCTTGGACAAAACCAGATTAGTGCATTCACAAGGGGGTTCCTCACATCCCCCAGTGCTATTTTTTTCACCACATCTGCTGAATTTCTCTCCGCACCGCTGGGTGGGCAGCCACAGACACCACCACGAGACTGCAACTCGGCAAGGTCTTCCGAGTGACAACGCCTCAGCCACTGAACTGCCCCGACAGAATGCCTCTGCCGCTCACATCTCCAAGCCAGTGTCCCCAGTGTCCTGGTCATGCCCTTGACAGCTTTTCTGTCACCCTGCAGAAACCAGACAAGACTCCTACCTTGGCACCTAGCTGTTCTCTTTTTTTCCCCTTTTGTTCCTTTAATATAAAAAAGGATGTCAACCTTTTTTTCCTTTTATGACACTGGAATTACTGAAGAGTCCAGGACAGTTCTTTTGCCAGTCTTTAATTTGGGTTTATGAGCTTCTTCATGATAGCATGAAGGTTACATTTTTTTTTAAAGATTTATTTATTTGTGCATACAGAACTGGGGTACAGGCCAGAGGCTCAGGGGTGGTAAGAGGCTTCACCAGAGACAGAGTGGGGAGCAGAACAGGCAGATAGACGAAGTCTACTGCTGAGGGGAGCAGCGGGCGGGTCAGGAGAGGTCTGCCATGCCATGTGGTCACCTCCGGGGCAGGCGGGGATCGAACTCATGCTGAAGCGGCTTTAGATTCTCAGTGCTGTGCTTTAACCCGCTGTGCCACCAGGGAGGGCCGAAGGTTACATTTTTTGACGGGAAAATTTCGTAAGTGATGCTTTGACACCAAAACCATTCTTAAAACCACTCTGTTGCTCTAGACTATCTTCTTCAGAAAGCCAAACTCATGTCTTGACTTCGAAGTTCCATCTTGCATGTTTTCTGATACCTACACACACATGGGCACCAGCCAGACCTTTTTCTCAGGCATCCCAGCCACCCTGTCCTCATCACCCCCAAACACACTGTGCAAGAGAATGGTAAAGACCTTGAGAAGCTGCCCAGTTCGCATCCTCATTTGCTGGAAGAAACACTGTATTACAAGAAGGAACCCAAGAAGGGAACGAAAACAATTTTGTCTGCAAAGAAATCCTACCTCTTCTCTGTGTACTATACAAGAAAGGACTGCAGTTTTTGTTCTTATCTCTCGCTTAAATGGCCTGGAACAGGGAGAAGGATTAGACTAAATGACTCTACTCGAAAGAGTTCTAACTGGTTGGTCAGCTGAAACTAGAAAGTCATAACCTAGACTTTCAGTCACATTTCTTAAATGCATGTTACAATTAAAGCAAACGAGGCCCCTTAGACATCCTCTAGAGGTTCCTCTCAGAACACCCACTGAAATAATCTGGCAAGGGAAATTTTCCAGCCACTGGCCAAAAGGACCATCAAGAAGTTCACTGCCAACAAGACCAAGCCATCACTTAGGATTGTAGGATTAATCTAAATAGCTTCTGTGAACATAATCTGATGCTACCTTATACTAATGCAAGGCGGACTGTAGAACTAACTGCAAAAGCTAAACAGGCTCCAAGCGAAAAAAATATTATCTTTGCAACTTGGGAGCGAGCTGGTAATGCCGCCTTAGGTCACGGGCAGCAATCAGCAAAAGCGCAAACCTGATAAATTAACATTCACCACAGTAATATTTGTGCTCAAGCCATAGAGCGTAAGAAGATATCCACAAGCCGTATCTGTTAAAGGTCTTGTACTCAGAGTACAAGTGAACTCTTACAAGTCAAAAAGCAAATAATCCACTCGTCTTCTAGGGGACAAAAGACCTAAGCAGACACGTCACAAACGGAGATCTAGAAATGGCTAATTATGGGATGAAAAGTGCTCTCCATCCTTAGTCAGTTGGGGAAATACAAATTAAAGCCACGGGGAGACACTGCAACACACCCATCAAACGGGTGTGAAATGACTGACACCTAATGCTGAGGGTGTGGAGCGCTCAGACTCTCGGGGGGTGCGGAGAGCGCAGCCACTTCGGAAAAATGTCTGGCAGTTTCTTATAAATCTGACCATGCACCTCTCCTGTGACCCAGAAGTTCCACTCCTAGGTATTTACCCAAGAGACATGAACATGTGTGTCCGCAGAGAGACTTACAGAACAATGCTCAGAACAATGCTGTTATTGTTTGTAACAGCCTAAAGCTGGAAGGAGCCCAAGTGTCTACCAATAAGAGGATAAACAAACTGCGGTATATTCACACCATGTAACAGCATTCAGCAATAAAAAGGAACAAAGTGCTGATGAGTAAATCTCAAAAACACACGGAACAATAAAGAGGAACAAACTACTGATAAACACAACATGAATAAATCTCAAAATCACACACACTATGTGATTCCATTTACATGAAATTCTGAAACCGGATAAACAAATTTATGGTGGGAAAAAATCTGAACAGGGGTGACCAAGAATAAGAGAACTTTGTAAATCACCTTTATGGGGATGTTTGGTATCCTGATAGGGAATTGGATCACACAGTATTTGTCAAAACCATATCAATGGCATATCTAAAAACACTGCATTTCATAATATTACCTTATTTAAAAAAAAAAAAAAAGCAAATATTGAACTGAACTCCAGTTAACGCTATGCATGGGAAAAGGATGTTTACAAATTACTTTGAAACAGACCAAAAGAGTAAGATGAGTGAATGGGAGGACGTGTGGCCAGGAGGTGGCATTTGGGTCTTCACCGTACAAGTCTCTCAACTCCTCATATGCTGGAAACTTCCCACACTCATACTGGGGGTGGGGGTGGGGGTGGGGTCTGAAGAAAGCGCATTTACCCAGGAGCCTCTGGCTTCTTCTGCACTGTACTGTGCTTCAGGAAATGACAGCCACCGTGCAGAAAAGGAAGCAGACCAGGGGCCAAAGCAGAAATTAACACCAACGTGTGTCTCACAACATTTAGGGTGTGGTACGAATAGAAGAGGAGACGTCTAAATCCTTTTTCTTGGCTGGCCTTCGAGCGACAGTGATGCAAGACAGCAGCCGCCACTGACAGACAATTCATGAAAACCGAACACACAGTCTTCAGGTAGAAGCACCAGAATCCTTTTAAAGACTTGCAACAAAAACTGGCGTGGTGTTAACAGTGCGAACGGAGTGGCAGGCCCCGGCACCATCTCAGCGCCCGCACAACAGCAGCCTCACACAGCGCCCTGTCTGTCGTGCAGTGCTTCCGCACCTAGTGATGTCTGGAAAAGCTGCAAGTCTCGGGGCCCTATCTGATGGCGCAGCGGGTTGGAGCGCAGCACTGCAAAAGCTGGCTGTAGCCGCTTCAGTGTGAGGTTGAAGCCGGCCCCGGAGGTGACCCACATGGAGCGGCAGACCTCTCCTGACCTGCCCGCTGCTCCCCTCAGCAGTGTATTTCAGTGGATTTGTTTGTTCTGCTCCCCACTCTGTCTCTGATGAATTCTCTCACGGCCCCTGCACCTCTGGCCTGTACCCCAGCTCTCTATGCATAAGTAAATAAATCTTTAAAAAAAAGAAAAACTGGCCCTCCCTGGTGGCGCAGCGGGTTAAAGCACAGCACTGAGAATCTAAAGCCGCTTCCACATGAGTTCGATTCC